TGAGATTAATTTATTTTAAATTGCGTTCTTTCGGTTGCAGAACAGCATTGAAAATATATTCAAGTGATATTATTAAAAATGTATTAACAAAGAGAAGTAAAGAAAGCGAAAGATATCAGAATTGTGCTATACGAAGAATGAAAAAAATATATTTTATTTCGGCAAACAAATTAAAAATGTTTAAAATTTACATTAAAGACGAATTGTAATTGAGTTTTGTAAGCGACTTGAAGTTAAAAAGGAGCTCAAAAAACTTAAAAGAGAATTCATTTGTAATGTCTACGCCAGTAATAACGTACAACCATTCAATATTAGAAAAAAAGAATAACGGCACTTATCATAACACTGTAGCTACATCAGCTGCGGATACATCATCATCGTCAACGATAGCATCATTAACAACAAATCCATTATCATCAATAGCACTATGGCCTCATTTAACTTCCAATTCTACAAAAATTAGAAGGCGGCATTTGTCCTCAACTAACCAATACGCAACGCAAACACATAATACAACAAATTCAACGATAGTCGCATCAACATCACCGTCGACAATAACAGCAGCAACAACAACAACAACAACAGCGACAACGGCAACAAATACAACGAAAACAACAACATTAACCGCCGTCGCCACGATAGCCACAGCATTATTACATACAACAAATGCTGCGCTTACCAGCACCAAAGCCACTACCACAACCGCCGTTAACGCTACAACTTTCAATCGTACACTCTCTACGTCAGTTAGTGATGTTGCATACGTATCATCCGCATTGCCGTCATACGACGCCGCAGCATCGTACCCCATGGCGGTGTTGGACGGCTCTTTAGCATTAATAGATCAACAAAATGCCACCGGGTCAGTACTTTTAAATAGTGCAGCCGCCACAACAACTGCCAACTCCTTCCTGGCTGCCGCACCAGCAAATACCACACTCTTAGAGCACACCGGTGGTGGCAAGAGCGGTGAGTTTTCTGACCTAGAAAGCAATGATTGGCTGGATGATGCTTTATTGGCTTTGAAAGCATCTGTCATGCTGTTCATCATAATAGCCGCCATTTTTGGAAATTTACTTGTTATCATTTCTGTGATGCGTGTTAGAAAATTAAGGTGAGATAATCTTCATTTCCTTTAATGCAAAGGTATTTAAAAAAATAATTTTGCAATCATTTTCCTGCCTCCCTTATGTCTTCAATGCTCTAAACAATGCTCTAAAACAAAATGATTGTATAGATAAAATAATAAATGAGCAGATCACACCGAACTTTGAATACTTCGCACATCCATTCACGACATCACGATCAATTGATTAAGACATAGTCTGACTTTGTGCTTAGAAAATAGGCGTAATTTAACTTGAGTGCGGTTTAATTTTCACAAAACCGAGATCTCTATCCAAACTCTTCTCTTCGATTTACAGAAAAAAGAGCCACCCAATATATTCTCTTCCATAAGGATTCTATATTTTTGGCAATCATAAGTAAAATTAAATTGTTTTGTGTGTTAATAAGAGCGTTGTTCAAGTTCGAAATAGTGGAGTAAAGCTACTAAAGGAGCTCCCCATAAATAACTAAAAGAAAGCTGTGTTCTTCTTTCACCGAAATGAATAAATTGACTCCCAGTTTCATCCTCCCGCCCATAAAACGATAGCTTTCACATTATTTCAACTATGTTTTATGCTTATTGCCCGTATGCCTTTATGATGACCTCTTTAAGACGATTATCGAGCTGGTAAGCTTGTAAACGTTTCTCATTTGTTTAAAGTGGTACGAAGAAAATTCGTCGAATATTAAGACTGCTTTGCCCTTACTACTCCACTTTTGAACATTGTCTTGTTGTCCTCAAGCCTTTATTCTGCTTCTTACATTGTTCGCAGTGGTGTAGAATGTGCATCACCATCAATGGCCAACGGCAAAGTGCACGCAGAGTTTTACACACACAGAATTTACCTTTGCTACGAAAGCGGAGCAAATGGTTTTTTTGCACAAAAATTTCTTTCAGTAAAATATTTTTGCACCTTGAACAAGTTAACAAAACCACATAATTAAACCCCGTGGTCATTGATGGCATTAAATACGAAGTTGTTTGAAATTTTAAACTAACCACCATGCAAAATGGTGCGAAAACGTCTCATACCGTTTTTGTTGGGTTTGGGTGCTACATTTTTTCCCATTTATCCGTAGCAATGGTTGAAAAGTTTTTAAAAACTGCTACTTTTTCGTTGGAGATATTTTTCGAAATTGTGCACTTACAGACAGTCACAACAAAGTCAAGAAAAGTTCAACATTATTTAGCTCAGTATAACGTGAATATGAAGCTATGCGAGATAAAGAAATTTATTTTCCAATTTTTGCTGAAATTGCTTCGAAATTGTTTTGCTTTTCGAATGCGGTCCTTCGCGTAACACATAACAATTGTGTATTGTATTCCCCTCACACAAATCGCACTTTATGTTGAAGCCGCTTTAACACGTTTTTATTTCATCTATGAAAGACTTTAAAGACACGCGTTTTATAATATTTATAGACAGACTATTCCATTAGTTTGAATAGAGACAACATCGTGTGCTCTTCTCCGTTCAATAAAACGTTATTTGATTTATGAAAAACACATGTGTTTCGCGAATTTATATAAAATTATAGCGGATTAATGCAAATTTTCATCAAACTGGAATTCGCTGCATGTGCGAAATATATGTAAAAATATAATTTTACAAAGTATGCTGTCGATAAAATTAAATTTTTTTTCATGTCGCCAATATATAAACCTCCAAATAATGAAAATTATTATACATGTTAGAGAGGCCGGTACAAATTTTCACCCTTGTTTAGTTTGATAGTACGTACACAGCAAAAACTATATGTTAAATTTATTAATTACCAAAACATACTACAGATCATATAAAATTTTGCATTCCATTAGCATCACAAGCAGGATTTAGTTGCGTCCGCGAAACCCTTCGTCATATATCTTCCTTGAATTCACATACTTTCATACCTTTTCCGCTTTTATTCTGTTTAAGCCGTTTCCGAAATCAATCCTATACTTCAATCTATAGACAGATTCGCATACCTTGAGCAGAAAGCTCTTGTGACATTCTATTATGAAAACTTGCTCTTTTTTTCAATTATTAGTTCAAGAAAACGTTTACAACGCTAATCTGTTTACTCTACTGTGCTGTAATACATTGGATGCAAATCACTCACTTGAAATTATTCACTATATGTATGTGTACGTGCAGTATGAGGATTACGCATAAAAAATATGCATTCAAGATCAGAAAAAATCCTTAAATTTTAAGGATTTTAAGTTAAGTGCGTGATTTTATTCGTTGTTTTTTTGCCCTTTGTCCGTTGATGACTCTCTATCGAGAGTTATCCGACGTTCAAGCAAACGGAAACGTAGCACTTTTACATAGTAAATAATAAGAAAACGTCTAAATTAACCCATTAATCGTAACCTGTCAGTTATGTGCTCAGACACTTGATGTCTTTCTATAACGACGCCCCACAATGATTTCATTGAAGGTGCTATTTAAGTAATTTTCGCATACTTTATTTAATTACACAAATTAACCTTAACGACTCTTTCAATGGAAATTGTGTGAACAAAAATTATTCACAATTTTTATTGCTCTTCTTATTGCTCTTCTGCTGTTTGTGCAAAATATTATATTAACAGAAATTACATCAAAATTACTTAAACGACAATCTAAATTTTGAAAAACACAACTTAGAAGAGACAATTAACAAATTTCCGTTGCTATTATTCTAATTGTCATGTTACAAATTTCTAAATGGTGAGGTTCCTAATAATGACACACTTTTCATACGTCGCTACACATTGAAATGTTCTCATTGATTATTGTTATTAGCATTGCTTTAGAATACGTGAGAACAAAATAAATGACAAAATGATCCGGTTATTAGTTGGGTTTACTTAAACTATTCCGCTGAAAACGTTTTGACCTCTGCTCCTCGGTACAGAAGTGGTATGGTGTTTGATTAATAAAACAGATTAATCACAATTTAACCAAAAAAAAAAAAAGAAAAAAGGGAACCAATTACCACAATAATACACGGATTTACCCCAACAACTTGTATAGAGTTTTGACATCATTCCAACGGTTAACTACCTTTAAGAAATATTTGCATCGAACGACGTCGCTCATGAAACGCACAGTGCCAAAATGAAGCAAGTTCTAGGAAAGCGGTATTGAACACAATCGTGAAAAACGACTTTGGTAAAAAAAATTCTAGAAACTGGTTTGAAGAGTAACATCGATTTTGATTGATCTAAGCATCTTTGGGTTTGGCTTTCTTGGCTGACATGTGTCATTCCATGCAGGCCGAGAAATGTTTGAGCAATGAGTTGAGTATGTTTTATGTAATTTAAATTCCATTGATAGGGAAACTAAGCGAGAGCCAAACCAATATTTATTTTTTCGATTTGCGTTAAGCTAGGCTGCGAATTCTTTGAATATCTGCTAAAAAGACTAGAACAAGAACTCTCTGAGCGTCTAGCATCCAACCCCTTGTAAATACCATGCAACTTAATCTATTTTTGATTTAGATTTTCAAATGTTTAGCGTTGGAGACATATCACGATCTTATTGGCCAGGAAACGTTCGTGTCAATGTCATCGTCCGAATGTCCAATGGTCCAATGTTCTTTCCCACAAAAATAATCAAAGTTTTGATTGCGGACGATTATCAAGAACGTGCTAAATAGGCAGATAAACAATTGAATCGAGGAGTAGACCAGTGGAATTCGAATGAGAGTGTAAGCACGGTTTTTAAGTTAACCGACATATATTTTTTGCGATATTTCAAGCGGACTGATCATAATATACATACTTTCAACTTCATTAAGAAGATATGGGTGATAAAAGGGGAGAAACGCATTAAATAAAGTTTTACGAAGATTTATCTCTTAACGTTCACAAGTGCTTTGTAAGAAATCGAAAGATTAATCATTTATTCTCTTTACATTATAACGTAGCGTTACTAGCAATCAACGTCCAAACTTAATGGCACATCGGCGTGTTCGCATTGTAAATATCATAAACGTATTGTCTTTACTGCACATAATAACGAAATGCTAGCAATATAACGCGGCAGGCAAGATACATTTTTATTCTCATTTTTCACTTTCTACAAAAACACTGCTCTGACATGTTGTTTCATAAATTACGGCGAGCTTTTGTCATCAACTTTAAATCTCATAACTTTAAACAGTTCAGGGATTTTCAAATATGTGTCAAACCGTAATAGCAACCTTTAATTTCCATTGTTATTAAAGCGCTTAGCGACAGCAACAATAACAATAACTTTAAAACAAGCAAATGAAATTTATGTAAAAAAAGTATACGATATATATAACGATGTTTAACGTTTATATAATGTTTACGTGTGAGCAAAAAATTACGACAACCATAGAAGAAAAATAATGGATGACGGCAAAAATCCTTGAAAGCCATAAAATGCATAAAATGCATTCGTTAATGAGCTCCTGACTTCATAAAATATTCTGCTTAAATATTTCTCAACGTTTGTTTGGTTTTAGGCCCTCTTTTCAACCTCCAGTCAGCAAGCCAGTTGTTACTGTTAGACTAAACGAAAGTTTGCTTGAGGTGAAAGTTAGATGACTTTGGATTTCAATTCACTACTAAAAAATTACTTGCTATGCCTGCCCCTTCAAACCGTATCTAGAGATTTTTAAAGACAATAAATAGAAAACAATATAACTTCAAATAGTACATGTAATCATTCTATCTTTCTTAGAGTACTACGACACGTATTATAAGAATAAGTCAAAAAAATTAATGTTATTTGAACGGAAAGAAAACCGTGGATTTGCTCGGTCGACATTCAAGCAACGTGGAGTCATCCTTTGAAAGGTCGTAAAGTAAGGAAGGCGCTTGCGATTGTGGCTTTATAGCTTTTTTCCTGAAGCAAAACTTTAATAGTAAATAACTCCGTAAACGAATGCAATTTTTACAACTATTTTGCAAGAAATATCTGAATGCAGGAATTTAGGTTATACTGCAAATGTGTGTAATTGTCGCATTTTTATAAATCATTTGAGATTTAACTAACCGTTAACTGAACCATAATTAGTTAAATAGAAATATTTTTTATTTTGATTTTGTTTAGTATTTTTACTTTCACGTTTTTCTCTTTACAGAATTATAACGAACTATTTTGTAGTCTCTTTAGCCCTGGCTGATATTATGGTTGCGATGATGGCCATGACATTTAACTTTAGTGTACAAGTGACGGGACGGTAAGTATAAAACTGTCAACTCGACAACAACACAGTCAGAATGCAAATATGTTTTGCACATACACACAAAATTGAAAACGAAAACAAAAACAAAATCATCAAGGATATGCTGCTACACTAATAAATATAATGCGAGTACAATATGTATGAAAAAGGATCCTTTATTTATACAAAACACATGCACAAATATCTACGAGATAAACATGTGCATACATATACAAAGTTTGAAAACGAATCCAACAATATAATCGCAACAAGAACAAAGTTACAACATAATGAATAGAGAGTGGGAGGAAAATAAACTATAAGAACACTTTAAATTTGTAAAGAGTAAATACTCATATGCGTGACATAATACTACTAAAATATATACATATATCTATGTGCTTATTTACCCGAACTATATAGTCCGGAAGATAAAAATTGAAACAAATGCCAACCTAAGCCATTATATGCATTACATGTTCGTTTGTGGGCTCACTTATGCTTACAAATGAAAACAAATGTTGTTTTGAAGCATTCTTTTTTTGTTTTGTAACATTGAGGCAAAACTAAAAACGTGAGAAATTAAATGTATATATATATATATATATATATATACTTCTATTCACATAAGCAACAGCATTTACCCATATATGTATAAAAAACTGTTTGCGAATGAGAAAGTATACGCACACACATACGCACACACACACACGCACACAACTAAATGCACAAAATGCTATAAGCACGCCTGACAGACAAACAGAAACCAAAACTCAAGTATAAAAGAAGTGCAGAAATAGTAAAACGACTCATTCATCCATTTTTTACTTTTTTTTATTTTGTTCAATGTCATCCATGCACAGTAATTTAAGGACAACAAGTAGTGCAGCGTGCAGTGAAACACATAATGCGTTTTTTTTTTTTTTTTTTTTTTTCTTTTTTATTTAACAGATATCCGTAAAAGAATTTGCAGTTAGTCACTCAACGATTTAGGGAGTGGTTTATAAAAACCTCCACATAGCGCGAATCGTTGCAGTTTAGACCTCTATTTGTTGGCCTTATAAAAATTAGATAGATGCGAGTGCATACGCGGTCACATTTCTCGCTGTGTTGCCCACATATATATTTTAGTCGAGTGCAAAGAAATTTTCTTCCCTTAGGTACCGTGATACAATTGATAATTTTCGTTAAACGTGTTTCGTGAATTATTGAAATAAACGTCTCATACATTGCATGTTCAGAATTTGTCATTTTAAATCATCGTCCACTAGATAGAGCGATTTTCGTCTTTGCACATATTTTATGGGCGGAAATTTAAGCGAAAGTTTAAGGGAAAATAAGATAGAAAAGGATCTTATAAAGTTTGATTTACTTAATCAAATATTTAATCGCCAATATTTCAAGCCGCCAAATTTCGACAGATGTAAGCGATTTTCAAATGTAAACGTGTGGTCGTCGAATTATTACAAACCTACAAAAAAATTTCCAACCGACAGTCCAGAGAAGTACTTTTCCTCTTCAGCATGTTCACCAGCATCTTAGTTGAAGTTTTTCTCATGCTAATGTTTACCAAAAACCGAAGAGATTTTATTAAATTAGGCTTAAAATCCGCTTACGGCTTACTTAAGTAGAAGGCTTTACAGAAACCACCAACAAAAAAGAATGCCTATATTATATGTAAGTTAAAAATGTTTCTTAAAGCCGTTAATATGTCCGCCAATAATGGTTAATCGAAAGCGAACACGTGAAAATTGAATAGAATTGCAGATTTATGTTAGTTAACAAGACGTATATTAATTTTTATAATTCACGCAACGAGGTGCAACAAAACATTTTATCATTCACATGCGCAGGCATATGCTCAAGCACTCAATTACTTATCAATGGCTAGTAATGACAACGATTTCATGCACGTGCAACATTCATTTACCTGCGTAAACTGCACGCCTGCGAGTTGTTTTGTCTCCCGATGCATTAATAGTCGATTTTCTTAATGGTTTGTATTGTCATGGCCGTGCAAAAAAAAGCCATAAAAATTAATTAAAAAAGTCACCACCACCAACATAATACAAACGGCTTTAAAGTAAAGCAGACAAGAAGAACACTATTCAAATAGTATTTCAAATAAATAAAGGATATTAAAGAGAATTAGAAAATAGAAAACTGGTGCATGAATGCAAGTACGCGCTTATAGAGAGACTACCAAAAACTATGAAATATAAATTTTCGAACAAAAATAAAAAGCAAAGAACATAAAGAATAATAAAGGGAACAAAAAAATTTATATGAAAGCCTTTTCCCCTTTTCTTTTCATTTTCCGTAATAGAAAATAGGGAAACAAATAACAAATTTTCAACTTTCAAAAAAAAAAAAAAAATTTATTCAAATATTATTATGTTGGCAAAAGCCTTCAGCAAATGATATTCCACAGTTAAAACAAGAAAAAAAATTCGATAAAACTTTTTTTCAAAAGACTCTTAGATGGTAAAGCAACTCATTATTATATGCTGGTTAGGTTTAAATTTCCGCTACGCCTACACAAAGTCGAAGAATACTTTGTAATGGCTTAGCCATCACGACTACCTAATAACATAATAATCAACAATTAACAACTGAACAGCGATTATACCTAAAAACGCACAAAGTTTAAAGCTCGTCAATCAGGTCGCCAGTGTTCGACGCGTTTACGGTTAGCGTGAAATTGCTAGGAAAAGGATGAAACACAAAAGGTAATCTTTAAAATATTCGAAGAAAACCTCCTCCTTATCCGGCACTATTCTTTACTTATTCATGCTAAATGGAATTTTCGCTCGTACGAACGAAATATGGAATTGTAAAGCAATCGCTATGTGCGCGGCGCTCACTACTGACTTGAATCGAAAATCTATCGACAGCAATTCCGATATCAGTCAAACAATAAGAAATAAAAAAGAAATGAGATAACGGAAAGCGATTGCTTTGCCGTTTTAATATGAACAGTATTAAGTGAGGTAGCTTCCGACGAAAAAGATGTCTATCACTGCACTCCTTTAATCATCATTGAAATAAGATTATACGATTATCCAAAGCTCAAACCTCCCCTTTAGCCAGAAGAGCGGCCTTATTGTGCCTTAAAAAAGACAAATATTGCTGCGAACTTTGGCCCCCCCCCTCCCCCCACCACCAAAAAAAAACAAAATAATATAAAAAGTTTTTTCCATTTTTTATATACCTTTACATTAACGAACGAGAAATGAGGGAAATCATGTCTTGCACAGCACTCAGCACGAACACAGACAGAATGTCAAAGGTATAGTTTAAAAGAGTTTTAATTGCGTCTCGCAGTTTGGCGTAGAGTGTTAGGGAGAGTGTTGCATGCAAAATATAGTTTGGGAGAAAACAAGCTAAAGTTATAGTTATGATTACTGGGGAAGTGAAAATTGGCTGGAAATAAGATAGCCTTATGCACGCGATCCTGACAATGTTCTGTAGAGACTGAACTCATTAAGATGATTTTAACGAATAAACGGTGAAAATAACGATTTTTTAAGGCAATTACCTGTAATTTTTTATACAACATTTTACTTTTAAAACGCCTCTGGTAAACCCTTATAGCTAAAAGTACAAAAGTTAACTTTTTAGATTTGTAATTGATTTATTCTTTTCGTATATCATTCCCATTTGATTTGACAAAATGCAAATCATGTATGCGAAGTAAAAAATTGATTATATTCGCTTTGAATTGTTGTCCCTATATGAGGATCTCCGCAATTTTCGCACTGGAAATTTAGATAATCCTTGTACATATGTATCTATCAATAAAGGCGTTTTGTTAATCGTAAGTCTGCTTGTGGGCAGACCACTTTCATTCTGAAACTAGCCGCATGACTAGCGATTAAAAGGCTCCAGCCTGAAATTTACGCTGATTTCTTGTGCTATCTGATATATCGCATCCTTTGACACCTTGTATAGAAGTGACGACTTCGAGGCATCTAAACATCCATTTATAATAACGGTAAAAAGGCAGCATTATCAAAATTTTGGAAACTTTAAGACGTGCGCATCAATCACATGCGATAAGTAACAAATATGAGTCTGACGTATATTATGATTTTCACGGGAAATAGCGTTACACATAGTCTTCTTTTTTTTAACAATGCTCCGTCCGAACCGTCGGACAACTCCGCATCTTACTCAATCATTTTTCTCCATATTTGCGAGTTCTGAATTCTTCCGCCATTTCGAAATTTAAAGTTATCAAGTTTTTATGGTTTCAATATTTTGTGCTCTTTTCCAGCTGGTTGTTTAGTCCATTCCTATGTGATTTGTGGAACAGTTTGGATGTGTATTTCTCAACTGCAAGCATACTACATTTGTGCTGCATATCAGTGGATAGGTAAGCTCAAAGTAATCGTAATAAAACGTAAAAGCAAACGTAAGCATAAACTGGGAACCAAAAACTGGAACAAAGGTTTAAAGGTTTTTTTTTTTTTAATCACTTGTTGGAACTCTTTCCGATCAGCATTTAGTTCATGTAATATAAACATGTCTCCTGTATTTGCTGAATTTAATGCCAACGCAAAATAAATATTTTCAAGCATTAGCACTTTAAAATTATTGTCCGAAAATTTTCCGCTTTCGGTTGCCAACAAATTTGTTTTTTAATGTAATGACAAGCAGCCATTACTCTCTTACGCTTTTAGAGTAGGTCGTACCCGACTGAGTGCTATCGAGGAAAGCAGAGCACATTGTGCATACTAATGGAATTTCAACGCTACTCTTCCACTGCCATTACGGGCTGAGTAAATAAGCCTGAAAGTAATGGTTGCTTTATAAGGTTAAGTAAAAAACTATTTACGTTATTCTTGCTCCCCTTTATGTTATTCGCCACACCATTTATACGCTTTAAATATCAATACGGCAACAGACTCATGATTAAGAAGTGAAAACAACAAGCTGCTATTGAGTGCAACATTAAGTGAAAGGAGAAGTTAAAAAAACAAGAAATAAAATGGAATAGCAAATACAAGGATTATGTAGGTTGTGGTTGCCCACTCGTGCATGTACATACACGCACTCACATAGAGAACCCTGAATAAACAAATCTTAAACAGCCACCCAAGTTTTTGAAGGGCTACAGAATCTTTTGGTAACTGAAGAGGGTACGATTTCACAATAGCCAACACTGCATATGCTGCATATGCACGCTCGTGGCGTTTCAATACGGCCAACCTAGGTAGAACACTTGTCTCGTAACATATATCAATGCATACAAGACTAGGCAGAGAAAATGTAAATTCATCCCACTAACTCTAACAGCTTATCAACGATTGCAGATGATAGTTAGTTGCCTTTGTTGACGATAAACTGAAAGTGATTACTGTTGCGCTTACGGTGTAACGCTTTTTTTGTTCTCATTACATTGTTTCATTACAGATATTACGCAATTGTTAAACCTTTAAAATATCCGATTAGCATGACAAAACGCGTTGTTGGTATTATGATATTAAACACATGGATATCGCCGGCTTTGTTATCATTTTTGCCTATCTTTATTGGCTGGTATACCACCGATGATCACAAAAATTTCGTTAAATTACACCCAGACCATTGTGAATTCATTGTCAATAAACCGTATTGTGTCATATCGAGTTCAATTTCGTTTTGGATACCGTGCACCATCATGATATTCACATATCTGGCAATATTTCGCGAAGCAAACCGCCAAGAGAAACAAATGATGATGCGTCAAGGCAACGCGATGTTAATGCATCGGCATTCAGCTGTAACGGGAAGTAAGTACCACTGTCCGCTGCAATCTTTATTTATTAAAATGTTTGATATATGTTTTTGACGCTTTCACCTGTGCGCTTACATACGTTATCACATCATAGAAATGTCTTTGTCAACTCAATCAGAAGCCGATACTGTATACAGATAGTGGGCTGAGGAATAACAAGAGATGGGATGCACTTCTCTTGCGGGTCTAATAATTTATCTACTTAATCTATTGAAAAACGCTACTTGCATTGGTTTAGCCAGCATAATATCGAATCACCTTGTTCAAATCGACGTGATAATCAAAATTTTTTTCCTCTTATTACTAACATAATGAAATTTTTTTTCAAGATAATATTAGAAATAATACCGATTTGTATGCAAATTTAAGGTCGATTTCAACTTCACCTTCCCATTGGTGAGCTTTTTGATAGTATACGCCGACTGTAGGCACCGATAAAATCATCCCTAGCCACAGACAGGCTTTAGATTTCACCTGAAGTTCCCAAGAGTAAATCCCTCTTATGTATTTTGTAATTTTAAATCGGAAACGCATTTTAGTAGACAAGAGAGAGATTACATTTATATCAATTTTTTCTTAACTCTTATTGGAAATGCCTCGCAATTTTTTGCTGTTTTAACAAAGTCAATCCCTGCTTATAAAACTAAAGAACTTTGCATAGCCACTTGTCGAACTCTTTCGTTAAACGTCAAAAGTTCTATAAAAAACAAAAAAAAGGCAGCAAAACACATTTTTGTAAGATGAAGAAGAAATAAATATTTAAGAGATACACAAATCATTTATATATCTACCACATCGCGTAATACGGGGTTTAGATCAATAATTTCGGTGGCCTCATGGAGTCCCAAGTGTCTCTGTTAACCCTTTCAGCTGAAATTACGGAAACGCCCGAACTTATCAAAATCGCTTTAGCGTAAGTGTCAGAGGATTGACTTTTCAGGGAAATAAAGGTTTCTCGTATTGATTACGATTCTTGTCCCTTTCCCGCTACTGTTTTTGCTGTTTGCTTTTTTTCGGAAAAGATTGCAATTTTTTCATTTTTCCATAACCTTTTTGTGTGAAACCTGCCATTGAGGTTGTTGCTGCTACTACGACTCGCTTTCTCGGTCTTGTATTATAAAATAATCCTATTAACGATCAACATGAAAAGGACACTTGTAAACATATTGCCCGCAATAAGAAGATGATAATGAAATGTACCTTCAAGAAAAAAAAATATCATCTTATCTAGAATTTTATAGATTAACCTAGAGGAACGTATAAGGCTTTAGGAGGATTATGGAAAATATTTTGAAATTATGATTGGTGTTCGCAATGCGTTTTTGTACTTCTCCTTTTGAATTATTAAAGGTGAAGCTTTAAGCGGTTCGGGTTCATCAAAGACATTGACATTGCATGAAGTGGAGCAGGATCATACACCGACTAAGGATAAACATTTAATTAAAATGAAACGAGAACATAAGGCTGCAAGAACTTTAGGTATAATTATGGGCACATTTATACTCTGTTGGCTGCCATTCTTTTTGTGGTAAGCAAGAGTTACCTTACAAATTAGTTAGCTCCAAATAATTTTTTACTAATTTACAGGTACACAATTACCACTTTATGTGATTCCTGCAGTGTACCCAACATTGTAGTAGCCATACTCTTTTGGATTGGTTATTTCAACTCAACATTGAATCCACTTATTTATGCTTATTTCAATCGGGATTTCCGAGAGGCGTTTCGTAATACGTTGCAATGTCTGTTTTGCAATTGGTGGAGAAATCGTCACATGCCGCTCGATATGGATATTAGACGCAGCAGTTTACGTTACGATAGCCGAGCGAAAAGCGTATACTCTGAGAATTATTTGAATGCTAATCACCCGCAAAGAAGAACCAGTCAATTAGTGGAAAGTTTATAATGCAGGGATGAGGCGCTATTAGCGCCAACCCCAACTCCCACATCAGCCTCAATGCAAAATATACATTTATTAGGTACAAGCTCATCTACACAGGGCAACAGCGGTCATCTATTGCATACTGCCAGGGTGGAAATGTGGCGCCAGGACTATGAACAAAAGTCCACTGATAGTGTTAAGAGAATTAAGAAGCTTATAACGACTGATTTATTGCAGACAAACAACGATGATGTTGTTGTTATTAAAACCACTGATTTAAGCAATCGCGACGCTGATCAAGAGGACAACAACGATGATCAAGTAGAAGAAATACAAATAGAAATACCGTTGGAGTACGTTAACAAATGGCATAAAAGCAATAAAAACAATACGGCCACCGTTCAACATCAAGAACAAAAAGCAGAAGAAAAGCAAACTCACACATATGCTCATACTATGGTTTAATTCAAGCAGTACAAGCAACTGCATATAAATGTATAGACTGGAGACCAACGAAACAACAATGCACCCTCAATATGAATTCAGCCAAAGTGAAACTTGCCCGCTATATGAAATGACAAACTAAATGAAAAAAGCAAAGGCAAATGTGTTATCAAAACCAACGTAAATTCACATACATAGGGGCAAGTAATGCGCAAACAAAAAGCAAACAAAAAAAAAATTAAACATAAAAAATATATAAATTACTAGAAGAAAGGCAGAAATACATAACATAAACACATACACTACAGCAGTTAGCAGAAAATACAATAATTGTACGGTCCATACAAAGAGGAAGGAGGAAAAAAAAAAACGAAACATAACATCAACACATATATAAAATACGAATATAATGTTACCAGACAAGTGTACATGCACAACTACAAAATAAATAGAATCAGTAACTAATATACTTCCTTTACAGCAATAGATAATCTGTAACTGAACGTAAATGAATCTATGAAAGATGAATTTTAAGAATGTGTTACACGCGCAACACATGTGCAAGTCCTGACAGATGCAATAATTTCTTTCCATTCTTTGCGCTTTCAATAAAATTATAGTGATAACGGATTCGCTTTCCGTTCGAGTCTATTTCTTTGTTATGGCGTTACTGCCTTTTTTATTTAGCATATCATCGCCATCTTAATAGAGCAGAAGAGAAATAAGTATGAGTTCATTTTTCGTCGTTTGTCCCTTGGTATGATGACGTTCTTCTCAAAAGATTATCGTAGAAATCTAAATTTTGTCCAAATCAAGTTTGAAAGCGAACAGATTCCCCATTCATAATTAACTGCCTCGGCACTTGTTAGACCAAAAGGGAAACGGAAAAGAACCATAGAAAAATGTGTCAATTCAACGAAAACTAAGCTCGAGCGCCAATTAGAGCACTTCAAAACCGAAATTTAATATAATATAATATCGCCCGATCTTATTCTTCGAAGCAGCAAAAGTCTTAAAGAAATTGACATCAGTGACGTATCGTTCTTATTTGTTTGATGTATGGACTTTTAAAATCAAATATATTCACATATAATAATTGCTCACACGTTTCGCTTTCGGTCGAGTATGCATTGTACAGCCGCAAAACGTGAAACCGCAATTGTAAGTTTTATACAAGTGCAAGGATTTATGTACCCACGCAGATATCGTTTTTCACCCATGCATTGGATGATTTGCGGTCTTTTTAAAAGTTATGCATATGAAGAAGTCAGAAGCTGGAATAAAATTATGGGTATTCTATTCAACAGTTATGGCTTTTGAGTTATTTTTTTTTTACTTTTTCAATTTTTTGGATTAACCAGATTTAAACATTTTCAAATTTTATACAGCTCGAGGGAGGAAAGACGCAATATGATTACTTACAAAATTAACTCGAGCAACATCTCTCAGTTTGAATGTTTTCATTGAAGCAAATTGCTTAAAGTGCCGTCAGTGCATGAACTTATGTTGTGTAATTAATTGCCTTTAAACAAAGTGGCTCCCCCAAGCAGCGTTAAATTCGGTAAACAGGATTAATTCGTTACCAATTCTGACAAATATATCTTTATATGATTTGTAATGCATGGACATAAATTAAATGCCTTCCACACAGATAGGAAAGTCTTTTGAAGCCAATCTTTGCAGAATGTGCGGAACATATTTTTAAACTATGAAGAAGTTTGCTTAGATCATTGTAGGTACTTTTGTATGCTCTGTTAACATTCTAACTTGATTTATTAAAAGCAGCTAAGGACATACAAAGGTACGCAAAAACACTTGGAGTAAAAGAAAAGTCATATCAAGCCAGCAATTGTAATCAGCAACGGCATAAACAAGTTGATTTGCTAGAGCAAAAGAAATTTCTAAGGAAAATAAACGAGTAGTAGTTTTGGACAAGAGATACGTATCCACATCCTCCCCATTTTCTTGCATAAGTACAGTTCTGCTGACGAGCAAATTTGGCAGTTTCTCTCAGAAATAAGTTAATCGCCAGAAGACGGCAAGGACCTTTGCAAGTTTTCGACAGATTCTTACAGGCATCCATTCAGTAAAGGATCTTTGTTAAATTTCTAGTTTACACGTTTGCTACCAAAATTTCACTCTGCAAACAAAGCTATATATGCACGCTGCCCTAAACCTGCATATATCTTCCATTTTCGTCGTCCTTTAATATGAAACTTTTGTTTACGTCACAAAAAGCGTATCTATTAGAGTTCGGCGCGAATTTCCCAACCATTATTTGATTATTAATTGAGGGAAAAGCATGTGTGTGTGTGTGTGTGTATGTACCTAGATAGGACAAACTGTAAATATATATAAATTAATGAAAAACAAAAATTTTATGCTTCATATTTTAGTGCCAAGTTACGAAGAAATAAATGTAAAAATAATAATCGAAATAATTTGCAGAATCATAATTAAATTGTTTTCGGAATGAATCCATTATAACCGGTGTAACAGTAGAAACTATATAAACGAATTATATACATTTACATAAAGTTGATCAGCAATGAAAAAAGCAAAAAAAAAAAAACAATCGTAAGCAATAGAAAATATGTATGTTTGTATAAAAAGTAGACAGAAAAGGAAAAGCTAAGAAGTAAAAAATACTACACAAGATATATAGATCAGTATTTCGAAATGCTAAAGGAGACTTAATTAAAATGTTTCTGGAAATGGAACTTTAAGAAAAGCCTACATAGTGATAAATACTTGCCTGTGGGGCAAGATATATATTCAAATCAGACATACTCATTAGAAACATATTAACAATTAAATGAGAAAAATACCCCACTGATACATTAGTGGTAATAAGTATAACTTTATACGCTCACAAATATATATGTAATATATTTAAATTAACCATTTAAACCAATAAGCAATAAAGGTTGTTCAATATTCAAACAAACAGAAAAATCATTATTACAAAAATAAAAGCACAGCGCAATATGGGGAGAGAGTAATTGCTAAATAAAAAATCATGATAAACAAATAGAAAAATGTAAAAATTGCAGGCAGTTAAAACAAAAAAACAATAACAACACTGGCATGAAAAAACACGTTACACGTTACGTAAGACGATTTCATTGAGAAAACCTCTGCGTATGCATATTAATTAAAAACATTACCACGCCCAGTAAAAAAAAAACAAAAACGTAGGAAAAATGGGAAACGGAATAGTTCGAGGTAATTAAATCGTCTTCTGTCCCGCAAGAATTCGTGCAATCACTTTTACAATTCTTTCGTTAATGAGTGGATCCATTCAACATCCAAACGCGTCTTGTCAATGTGTACGTTTTCTAATGATGATGAAAAAAGATTGCAAACGCTACACTAATTCCTAATTAGTTCTCTCCATTTCGATGCAATAACGATACGCATAAGATTTAATAATTATCATATACCGTACATCTTGACACTTCATAGTGCCGCGAAAGCATTTCGAAACTTTTTGAAATTTTACAATTTATAAGAAAAAACTTTCAAATAATGCTTTTCAGGACTGAATGTGAAACTTCTCCAACAATATTTCTATTTTTTTTTTTTTTTACTTAATTTTTAATTAAAAAGCTAAAAAAAAATTTGTAAAAGATTTTAAGGTTTTTTATGAAAATAGACAAACGGTCGGACTGGTAGACAGCTAAGCAATGGAATGGATACGAGGACATATTACTGTCTCCTTTTAGAAAGGGGAGAGAGATAGCCAGACAGGCAAGGCTAAATAGCAGGCAGATGAAACGATACAGGGATAGGCAGAGAGGGAAACAAACAGGTTGGCTTTCGGTTAGATAGATTAGGAAGCAACACGCGTGCAGATGGATCATGGAGAAGGCGAACAAATGAATACGTACAAAATCGTAGATGCAATTGATATTCGGATAAGAATGCTTTTTAAAATGAATGAATAGAATGTTTACGAGTGTCCCAAGGCAGATTGCGCAACTTTCTTCAAATTCATTGGAAGCACACATTGCAAATATAGACATCCGCTTATTTTGAAAATATATAAAAAAAATGTACGTAAATATTAATATTTGATAAAAAACAATTTGAACAAACAAAGTGAAGTGTTTATTGAAGTTATCTGAACGTTCTCAAGAGCTCAAGGAGTATGTTTGCTATTCCTGGAATTAAGTTGACTGTGCAGCCTCCTTCCGCATGGCTTGTGCTCAGCAATCAAAGTCAGCAACTTGATTCCAGCAATTGCGGTCATACACAAACAGCGCTAAAATGCCACGAAGCGAAACAAGAAAACAAATTTGCAAGCAATGACTTCAGTTTCTCTACTCATATCATTAAAAGTGAGAGCTTAAATGTTTTAATGTAACGTAAAATGAACAGTAAAGTTAAGTGCATAAATAACACAGTGGTGAGCAATGTGCGTGCATTAAAAAGGTGTTGATTACTAAAAATAACAAAACAAAAACATCCTTAATAACATTTATATATTATAGTAAAAATTAAAACGAAAAAATCGCAAAAAATCAAAATGTTTTCCTCATGAAAGAATGAACATTTTTTTTTTTACAAAACACGAAGAAGTTCAAAACAAACTCCTTTTTCTACTATGACAAAAACAAACCTGAACTACATATAAACACAAAAGCATAACTATTTTTCTACAAACAATTTAATAAATTCACTTCTATTATAATGTAATATTAGAAAACTGTTGTGAAAAACACAATATTTGTAAATGTTTTTTTTATGTTTGAAAATATCAAAAAGCAAAGGTCTTAAATTTCATTTAAACATGAACACTTTAGCCAATGCTTTTACTCATTCTAGTCTTGCTTCGATAATTACAAGTTATTTAATAATAGCAAGTGTCGCTTTCTATTATAATTTATGATTATTAAAATATTTTTATTTATTTTGTTTATATGCCTATCTACTCGCACTACTGTCGACTGTACATCAAATTAAAATTTAAAAAAATTAATGCAAAGCTAGTTTGATTTTCTACTATTGTAAAATAAATAAAAAAATAATTAAAAAACTGCAAACATAAATATATAAATATAATTAATGAAAGTAATTTGACAGAAAAAGTACATGAAATGTAATAAATTATAGAATAATAAACGAAAAAACCGCAAGGATAAAATGAATAAAAAGTAGTTTTACTCAAAAATCAATCAATCAAAAACGCCACGCCTACGAAGTTTGGCCATACTTTGAATATGAACCCAGTGTATTACATATATTACTTAGCTACCGTGAAAAATGGCACAAATTATCGAAACGGGAAAACGAGAGGAAATAATAATTAGAACATGAAGATTAAAAATTATATCCGAACGACATGGCGTATGAGTTTCACAAATTACTTGTAATCTAACGAATATGTAAAAGTCGGTTGCTTGCGTTTACACATAAGATGTGAGATTAGAGTACGAAATACACTTGGCTAACTTAGCGTATAAGTAATGAATAAAATATGTAAATAAGTGAATTGTATTACATCGCCGTCACTTGCTCGTTGCGCGTCAGTGACTAAATTTGCAATAAATTCTCATTTGTCCAGGTAAGTTGTTATAGCATTATCTAATAAGAGGCGGATCGATTAAGGAGTAAGATTCTTGTGTGCGCTAGAAGCGAGAAAGTAGTCTTGTAAGTTATATAAAAAGAAATGAAGAGATTTCATAATCCCTCATCTCTTACATATAGCGGTAAAAAATCTTAGCGCGTATCACAAATTTTTTCAGATTTTTTGAGCACATAACTGAGGCGTACCAAAACCATTTTTTGTTTGACGGCTCGCACCACTACCAATTACAATAATTTTTGAATTTAACGAACGAGCCACTCAATGCTCGCTAGCGAATCTTACTTTTAAGGTGCAGTTGTAAAGCTGTGGGAGTAGAGCAAGCTCGATATGCGTGGACTCGATACGGAATCCTTTAAAGTTCTAAAGCTTCGATTTTAAAGCAAGTTTTTTCTTTTGCCACTCATTTGGAATACTTCTGAGAAGGCCCAAACTGAATTAAAATCAAACAATAATCAAAATGTGTGTAGGTAGCACGTGTATCAGTGTGTACAAGCATAAGTTTTTTATTAAACACAAGTAACACCAACCAGTAAGGGACATGAAAAATAAAAATTTGCATTTCAGTCGTACAGAAAAGCAGGTTTTCACATTACACTCTTTTCCGTCCCGTTTTACAATTTATTAGAAAACATGCGAGCCTGAATGGATGAATTTGCAAGACTGACATTTGCTAACATTAACAATTCCATCTTGCATCGCATGAAGCAAAATCTTTGAACTATAACTAATAATTTATGAAAATACAAAACAGGCAAAAGCAAACTTTATATAACAGGAAGCCTCCATTATTTTCTAATATCAACAGATATATGCATGCATTTGTAAATATATACATGTGCAAAACATGTACGTTGGCACTCATTGTTAACACGAAGCCTTGCTATCATAGTAGTAGAAGTATACATCTATTGCTGAAAATGGGATGCCTATGTTATTTATGATCAATAAAAGTAATCAACTGAAAATGCTTCGTTAGTAGATTGTCAGGGCAAAGCCTACGAAACCATTAATCTCGAACACAAGAACATTATTTATCAAAACCTAAGAGGATAAATTATTTGTGCTTAAATGTGCAATTGTAACAGCCTGATATTTGTGTGATTATGCATGCAATAAATACGTAACTATGCGAAAAGTAGGTAAATGCTTTTGTATTTGCATAAATTTTGGGTTGCATTATGTTATCCGCTCTAGCAAAATTAACAAACTTTGTATATTTTTTGTAGAAATAAATTCTTGTTATCCATGTCAACAGTTGTTTAAAAAATACATGGATCTGTATTTGTGCTTATTTATCGATGTAAATATGTACATAAGAACTCTTTTCTTCAGCGTATGCCTGTCAGCCTGCCTGCCTGCCTGTATTTGTGCATGCACTTAACTGTATTCAATTCTATTGCAAGTGTCAACAGAATGAAATAAGCATAAAGGAACAGAAAATAGCACGTGAAACGGTAAAGTGGGTTTTACAGTTTTATTTTATGACGAGAGAAAACGAGAGAAAGAGAAAACACGTCGAGAACGTGTGAGATAATGCACAAGCATATAGGGGAACTTCCTATAAAATATATTAAGCTTATATAATTATATTTTTAAAAGTACTAAAAAGCTCTAAAAGGGTCTAAAAGTGCATAGAGGAAACTCTACTACAGTACTTTTGTAGGTGTCCGATGACATATTAAATTTCAGGGAACAATGGGACTATAAAATTTTGTCCATATAGAAATGCATGCTATTCCTCATTATTTATTTAAAGTAAACAAAGAGTGTGGTACTATCGCGCTTTAGCTTTTGTCATACTATCGTTAAGCACTATGGTTTTACGATAGATAGGCTCTATGACGGTTCTTCTGTTTTATACAAACATTGCTTATAGGTGGGTTTTCTCAAAATCTCAGTTTGAAGGTATTTGCCATACTTGCCTACTCTTATCTACATATCCTTCGAGGTGCATACATGCATGCTACACATGTTATCATAAGCATTTAAGGTGAACTATTTTTCAGATGAGAGATAATTGAACTGGAAAATCGCTGGAAAAATTAGTATAAATCTTAAGGAAACTAAAAGAATTTGAGGATTTGAGATATTAATAAAGGAAAGCAAGATAATTTCTTTCACATTTACGCAACGAAGGTCTGACAGATGTTCAAGGATAATAAGTTACCATGTAAGGGTGAAAAAATAAAACCATAACATGTGTAAATTGCTGAAATAACTTTTAAAGATCAATAGAATTTTGAACATAACGGCGTTTTCTTTTAGCATTTAAATACACTTCAAGATTCTGCTTTCGTGGAGTTCCTGCTTGGGCTGTAGGTATGTGACTGTGTTCATTTAAAGTGAGCGGTTTATTTTATATAATTCTCTTTAGTTGCATCGGAATCATACGCATGTCTGTTATCCTATTTATTTAGTTGCTCTCCTTGTAAATAGGAATTCGCCGTAAAAGACTTTTTAAAGGAGACACTGTAAAGGCCTTTAACAATGAACATCAAGTTGAAAAATCCATTACAAAGTTCAATACACCAACAACTGAACAGTCAGAAATATATTTGGTTCAGTTAATAACAGGATGCAGGCGAATAAGGTTCAAATGAGAAGGCTCACAAAATTGCACAAAATAAATAAAACCTAATACTAAAACAAAACAGTATTTAATTAAATTATAATGAAAAGAGTAACATTTATAATTGAAAGCTGACTGCTAATTAAACTTTTCCAGAAAACCAGCAATAGAAATCATTTAGAAAAAGATAATTTTTATTGAAATTCTTAAGCAATATATGTTTTCAAGTAAAACTGAAGAAAATGAATAAAATCGTCTATTGAGAAATAAATTAACAAAACTAAAAGCCTATAAATTTACACAGCACACGAACACAAAAATGTGTAAACTAATCGATTTTTGCTTTCACGATTACAATAAAAAAAAATATATCACATTTTACCACATTTTTTCAACTTTATTTCAACAACTATGAATGTCTGCATAATTTAAGCTAAGCTGAGCAAAGGACTTTTCTTTTTTCTTTTCTTCTGTATGTGTTTGTATATTTATATATATATATATATATATATATGCGTGTGTGTGTGTGTGTGTGTGTGTGTGTGTGTGTGTGCGTAATGGCGGTCGTTGTCGTTATTGTTGCCTTCAGCGGAACCTTAGTCTTGTTTAATGTAAATAAAGTTCAGTGTTAATGGCTAAAATTTAATAGCTTTCGATTTTTATCCGACGTGTACGCGATGGAAATTAAATTTATCAATAGACCTTAATAAAACGAAACAGCGAATGTTTGAAAATAAAGTAAATTACAGTCTACTACGCGCTCATTAACCTGCTGAAATAAATTATATATTGAGGTTATCCATGGACATATATTAAGGTTAGATAAACTAAAAATAAATCACTAAAAAATTAATGTTATTACACACTGCTCCAGCCAAACCAGCCGTTTCTTTATTTATGTAAGTTAAGGCCAAAACAAAAAAAAATTGTTCTTTAAATTTTTATAGTTTATCACGCAGATTTAAGCGGAATAAAAACACCCACTTGAATAGATTAACGGACAAGACGTGAAAAACAGTCGACGAAGAAAACACATACAAACGGCTTTAAAGGTAGAAGGACGGACAGTTATTATCAAAGTGGACTCACAATCTCACAGTGCGCTCATTATTGTTCGTTTCGTTTCAAAGTGTTACAACCACAACGTCTAAATCAGTATACTTAACATTCAACAATGCTTTCAAAATCACGACTTTACATAAACGCATGCATTAGCCGCAGAAACCCATACAAAACATCAGCCATCTGCGGGTGGATTTGAACACAAGTGTGCGCACAAAACAAATTTAAACTAAGTAAAGCACATCAGACTATTGTCTTTTAAGACTTGTTTGCTAAACGTTCAGAGATAAAAACAAGACATGTTTGTAGACATTAATAGAATTGTTTGCATGAAAACCTAAAAGCCATTATTTAAAAAAGCACCCTACCGCAGTCCACTTCTTGATAGCAGAAAGTCGATTACGTTTCAAGCGATCATAGGAATATAGCTGAGACTACTTCTGCAAAGAAGTGATCGGACGCATAAAAAGCAGATCATAGGGCTTTTAAAGCAAAGCAAGTCAACATTTGCTCTGCCAATAGAAAAAACTAATAAGTAACTGATATGCAAATGCCAGTTCTTAAGTCTTTCTGGGTTCCGCAAGTTACATACTTCCGCGCAAAGTTAGTGTATCACAACGTATACCCTTTGACCGCAAGTGGTGTTTTAACGTACGCAGCTTATGATTTACGTTTAGCTAAATAAATAATTATAAAAAGTCAAGAGATAACAAAAGAGAAGAAGTGAGAAAAATATGAACCATATGCCTAAGAGAATCGATATAAATTCCAAGAAACACCCCGTCCATTACTCTACGACTTTTGTGGCGGCAGTCTTTTGAAATTTCAACCTCTCATATTCTTAAATTAAATAACGGCATTAAGTCACGCTAACCTTGCGTTTCATAATATTCGCGCATCAATAACACAAAAAATGCGAGGCGTGAAGAGAATATTGTACTCGTTTGCTGGCCCTAAGCTGTCGAAAGCGTGCCGATTCCGCATTGACGGATCATTTTCCGACAAACTAAAAAAAACTAAATGACTGCCACATACGGTTCGAACGCACCGGCGTAATTAGCTGTGTGACTAAGAATCGAATAAACGGAAGCAAAATTCGAGGAGGAGCCCTCTTTAATCAAAAAGTCGCGAAAACCAGTTTCAATCATTGTTAAATACTAGATCAATTCAGATAATAACCGCGAGAGAATAGGTTAATTTTTGCTTCGTTCTTCCACTTCTCTACTCCCAATATTCTTAATACAAGTTTAAGAACGATAAATAGTGACCTGATTGAAAAAAAAACCGGGTAAATCGCCTTTTTTGTTTACATATTCATAAATCGTGAAATCGCTACGAATGCTCAATTATTTTTTGCGGATATAATATATAAAGTCATGGAAATATTTTGCAAAAAGGAGTGTCTCGAAGTGGGTTATTGGTCAATTAATTAGTGACAAAGAAGTATGGGAGAGATTACATTAGAACAGCTGTCATAAAGCAAATACATCGTCTTTAGAGTAATCTGCAGCGCATTAAAGTGTTTCTGGTCTGACTGATACATTAAGAGCTAAAGAGCAAAAAATTGCCATAAATTATAAAAATTATACGAAATCGTACCCATAATATTTGAAATCTATTTTTAATACTTTATGATCCTTGTCGACATAAGTTTTCATATTAAATATTAAAGCTGGACTAAGAGGAATAAACTATTAATTGACTTTTGTGTTACTATTGCGACACTTGGTTTAGCATTTTTAAGTTACAATATATGTGCGCGTCCAAACTTAAATATAAACTAAGTCATACACACCCACAACAAATGAAATAAAACGCACCACATGTACTGACACAACTACATGTACGATGTTGCTCGCACTCAAAATAAAAATAAATAAATAAATAAAAGGAAAATGATAACAATAAAGTGGCAGTAAACTACCCTTGAGTTAGTTATAAATCGGATAAGCGCAAAGCAAAATATGTAAAATGATGTGAGAAATCAAGCGTTTATTCAGTGACCCTATCAGACAGTCAGCCAGCAAAATAGAATGGTCTTTAAATAGAAGCGTAAGGAAAATTTCTCATGACAAACATTCAATTCAATATTCTCAAGCGCTTTAAATTACGCAAAAGTAGACCGTGCAGTTCCTTTACTAAAATTATATTTTATAAAATGCTTTGCACTCACTACATAGCAATAAAGTATTGTTCACTTACTAACGTTTCATAATCATTCTATTTCGCTTTGAGTGCTTGTAGAGATATAGCAAAGCTCTTTGCGGTTTTCCCTTTGTCTTCCTCTTTTCAAGCAGCACTTTCCAATTCAGTATTAGTTTCATTCATAGAAGTTTTGTTATGGAATTCAATAAAAACCCCACTTTTTCGAACGTCTTACCAAACAATGACCGTTTCATTTATGTTTGCACGATACACTCTTCAACGACGGTTTGTAATGCTTTTCATACTTTAACTTGACTGTTTTAAGTTGATTTACCCTTCACTTCTACCCACTCACCGTAGCAAGCATAGTCATAAATTTTCGTATGTGCAAACGGCCAAGTATGTACAGATTCAAGAGTTGCTGTGAATTGCCTTGAGGCTTACAATACACATGCCGCTTACGATACGTACACGACTACGTTTATCATAAAAGCCTTGAGCCTGAAAAGTTATGGTGCTTGTAATTTTTTCCTTTTTGTATTTGTATATGGTATTTATCGCTCAGGCCGGTTATCCGTATAAATTTATTTGATTATCTTTTCATTTTTTCGATAGAAATTTCATATAACATAAGTGCTCCCTAAGCCTGCTTGACATTGACAGTATTGTACACAAGCACAATGATACTGTTTTTCTTTTCAATATTGTTAATCCATTTAGGATGACTTATTCAATTTTGTCGCTTGTCCTGCAAATTGCCCTTCTCTCCTCCGCTACCCTGTATTGTCGATAGGCAACTAAAAACTAAGTTTTACCAGACGCACTGATAAAAAATAGCCAACAGCGTAATGTAGTTCATGAGTTCCAAATATCTAACACGTGTTTATGACAATAGATACGTATCGGAAGATATACATCAACTGATTAAGCAGAGGCACTGCTTACCGTTTAGGAATGTCTATTATTGACATTCCGGGCACATTAGTATTTTCCCATTTTCCCCAACTTCTCATGTACATAACAGGCAACAATTGCGGCTCAAACTATTTGATAGACATTACACAACAAGCACTTGCTTTTACAATAAGTATCCTATGCGTTATGTCTAATTTTATATTACTCATACGCCCTGATGTCGATTAATTTAACACTTGCCATAGGACAGTAATGCTTAACTACTTTTCTCAAGAAGAAATTTATTCCAATTTCTTTTTAAGTGCAAGATGGAACGGGGCTTGTGACCAAACAGTCTATTCTTGAAACAAGTCAAGCCACCCAAGTCAAGCTAGTACGCTGACAGGAAAAACGTAAATATAGGATTGATGTGCGAAAACTTACCCACACACATTCTGTTCTTAAAATATTGGAAAATTTATTTATGTTTTATATATGTAAAAATATTCATGCAAACAAATATTATGTCCTTTTCATGTAAACGTGAACGTGTACACACGACGATTGTTCCTTCTACTAACTTAGCCTTCACTACTCACCTTCTCACTTCCTTTCATGAAATATACCTTATTTCATTCAAATTCGAATTGAAATTTAAAGCAACCCGCGAATTGTACCTAATCTTAGGTAGATGTTTAATACATAAGACATAAGATAACATGTTACTTATACATTACAACAGTTATAAAATAACTTTTAGAGTAATTAAATGATTTAACACCCCTAATAAGCCTTTTATCACATGCTCAAGTCTAGAAAAAAATATTAAAAAATTCTAAACACAACGAATGATTTCATACAAATTAGAAATTCGATTTTTTTTCTCTTTTTATAGAGAAAAAAATGACCTTTCGTGCAAAACCCTTCACAAGGTCAATTAACTTAATGTAGTGGTTTCAATCACTCAAATGTCAAATTAAAGAAATGGTTTTTCTTTTCTTTAATATTGCTTAAGAGTTTTTGTGCAAATTCTCAGACCGATTTTAACCAATTTTCTTAACAGTGTACAAAATGTAAATTCCATTTTCATAAAAATAAAAGTATTTGGGAATTATTACAATGTTTTTGAATGAGAAAAGAAAGAATTCTTCGAGAAAAAATGAAACAATCTCTAGTCAATATACTGAACAGAATAAACGGCCCAATTAGCTCTAAATTCACTAGCGGTTTTTTTAGAACGTAAATTTTTGTTGCTGAAAACATAACTTATCTGAATGAAGCACTTTTTTTTGGTCATAGAAGTATCAAGAGCGGCAAAGACAGGTATTTTTCGCTTTTTAACCGTACAAGCTTAATATTGCTTTGCACTGAAACAAACGCATAAGAGCTCATAATAGTCTTGTTAATGGATTATTTGTTACGTAGTCGGGCTAAAGAAAAATGGTTATTGACTCCCGAAATTTTACAAAAGACAAATAACCTTCCAAGAAATTTTCCAACAGAATAAAAGTTGCAGAAAAGTTTTGCTTCATCTTAGGCTTAATTAAAAGTTCAACTACTTGCGCTCAGCTCACAAAAAGAAAAGGAAGGAAGCCTTTCTCCTCAAGGCTCGATCACGGTGCATAATCTTTTGCAATTACCGCAAGACCAATATGATGATTCGCGGGTATACTAAATGCATATTTCCTCATCGACGCCATAATCAATAAATGTTGATTATTTAATGAAATAATTAAATATTAACGGTCTGATGATGTGCATTTCTCCACGTACGTCTCTTCGCCGGTGCCTATGCCAA